TTCAGCTACCCGGATTTCAAGTTTAAATCTCAGCATCAGGTTAAAGGAGTCACAAACACGTCTCGACATGAATTGTGAATCCGCCGATCCACCGATCCGCAGCCGAAGAGATGTTCCAATGAGAACTAGTTTTTATTGGCGCTTAAACATGCAAAAAGTGGGAATTATAACCCAACTAAATATTACCTTAATAAATATTGTAAGAAAATAATTGTAAAGTATTGATTAATTTGTATGCACTTTAATTAAATTAATAAATTAATACTAGATTTATTATTAGATTAGTACTTTTTCGTACGTTCAAAATTGAGCGGCATTAAAACCATCTCGCGTTGGCGGTGGATCGGCGGGTTCATTTATCATTATTTTAATTCAAGTGAAGCGACGTGCTTGAGTCCTTCAACGTGATAATGAGCTTTAAGCATGAAATCCAGAAGGTTGAAAACAACAAAATGTAAGTAAGGCTATTATTATTATTATTTTTAAATTGTTAAACAACATATTCACCCCAATTTCATAATTTCTAAACTGCTTTTCTATTCATTGGCCATAACCCTGTAGAAATATGGTTCTTTAGTGTGGTCACCTATTGTTATTCTAAATATTCCTCCAGCCAAAATAAAATTGAAAAAGTACAAAAGAATATGATAATATTATAGACTTAAACCGCCGCGACTCAGATTATTTAGACAAAAGTATACGATGACTTATGTGACATTCCAAATCTTCTTTTAACTTTCTATATTTCATTCCAGGTCTTATTTTTCATGTCCAACTCCTAAATAATCATACTGACAAACATTTTTTTTATTAGTAATCATATATATATTTTTTAAATTTTATATTCACAAAAGTTAGATAAATATATACAGGTATATAAAAAGAAAATGGAACCAAAAAAACCATATACCATTAATTTAATCATAGTTATCAATCTGCTTTTCAAATTTTTTGCCATATGTTGTATAGCTGTGCTGTACATAATTCACTAAAAATATATGTATATTTAATTAGATGTGTGAAGCAGGGAATTTATATGATTGAAGTCTGATTTTGTTTATAAATTATTATAGTGAGATAAACATAGTTTATTTAGAAAACATTTTTGTTTCACTCAGAAAAATAACATGCATGCTTGTTGAGATATAATTATTGAATAATTGATTCATTTATTTATAAAGTAAACTAGAAAAAACGAAGTCCAAACTGATTGGAGCTGAGTACAGATTAGCAAAAATTTGGATTAGCTGAGTAACTTTAATAATGCAGTTGTTGTTTTTTTAAAACATTTTATTGTACACATCACACTTTTTTTTCTTCTTTTTCTTTGTTTTTTCTAACACATAATGCGATGAAAAATACCTCTGATCGAGCATGGTTCCACTCTCCCTTAGGCCTCCGCCATCCTCTTCTGCCTCCTCAATCGTTGGTCTAGAAGTCTGCCTTCTTTATATTGTGGACGGGGCTTTGGTGGCCTTTATGAAATGCTTGTCATAAATACTCCTTTGGCATGAAAAAGAAAAAAATAGAAAATTCTTAGACTAGCATGCTCATAATTGACGAAAAACTGTAGGGCAAAATCTCAACTGCCAGGCTGCACATTCTATTTAGGTATTACTTGAATTAAACATAATAACAATAACATAATTAAAAATTACATTAAAAACAAATAAAGTAATACTATGGACTTTTTTCTTTTGCACTTAATAGTATATTAACTCTTAACAATAATTAGCTTAATTAACAATAACTTAATAATTGTTTTTAACTCTTCAATATTATTTACAATAATGTAAAGTGTTAATGATACAAGAATGTCAATATTCCTCGATACCAACTTCATAAAATGCGGTACACTTCTTTCTCCAAAAAGCATGACTTTGTTGGGGTGGCCAACTTAAGCCCCTGATCACCATGTGTTACAATAACAGAAGCCTGGTATCTATCACTGCGTTGCCTCTAGAAGAAGGTGATGCACAGTCTGATGAGATTCCTGACTGCAAGAACAAGCAGAGTAATTAATATTGAAGTGAAAGAGATTTTCCACCAATTTTCCATGTCCTATTAGGATTGTGAGCCTGTGGTCCATTTGCAGGTGGCCCTTGGATATGTTGCATGAGACCAATGGAAAGAACTCCCTGGTAAGTAGTCTCTGGATAGAGTTACTCCAAATTTCTTCCCATTCAGCCATCTTTTAACAGCAGATAAAGGGACCTTCAAATATGCAAATGGGAAGTCCTCGTTTTGGAAGGTTGCCTTAGCCATTTGTTCGCGATTTCATTTTCCACCGTCCCCACATGTGCTCTGATCCATAAGAATGAGATGGTGCGACCCTGCTCAATCCACTTTAGGTGACTTCTTACATCTTCTATTAGATGTTCAGTAGCGAGTCAGTGGTGATTCTACTGTCAGTAGCTACTGTTATTTTTTGTGCATTTCTAGGCCGATTAGAATACTCTCATGTTTTCCAGGTTTACCACCTGGTTTTGGTTCTGTTCTTCCTTGTCCTTTCAGGGCAATTTTTTTTAAAGCTTCCAGAATACCACCACTATATGATGGGCATTTAGATCTCTATGGACCCTATGATTAGTTCCAGATTTTTAAACCTTCTGTGTTTCATGATGTCATTCATCAGTGGTGGACAAGAGCTCCCTCGTTAATAAGCAGAATAGACTATCCAGCTCTTTGTTCCAGCTTCTGTTTTTGTCAGGATAACTGAAACCACATTGCCGGGGCAGAGCCCCAGGATTAGTATGCACCTTGTTATTTACAACAATAAACATCATTGTCTTAGTGAGGATCTGTATGTTACGTGTGCTTGAGAGGACTTTAAGCTTTTTATGACCTTGAAAATCCAAGGTTCCTGCACTAGAGCTATATCCAGAACCTCAATTCAATCTCCTGCACAGCATGGCTGAAGCAGTCCTAGCATGCTGGAGACTTGCTTGCAGGACCCTTACAACTGCTATCCACATCTCTGGGGCGAGGGCATGTGTGGGCATCCGATACCTGTTTACTGTCCAGGGTACCAGCATCAGGATGATCCCTCAGCCATTCAGCATTGGTGACAATCAGAATACCTGCCCTCCTCATCCATTTGGCATGCCTCATTCGGGGTCCGTCATCTGGGATGTTGTCTATGGCCATTAAAATGGAATCTTGAAGGTTATCCAGTCTATGTGGTCCACTTTAACTGTTAGATAACCAGCAGCAACTATAGCAGCCTTCACTGCAGCCAGGACCTCGCTAAAGGGTTGTTCCCTCTACATAGGTCTTGGCTTGTTTCGATCTTTTTTGTCATGTGTGCTACCTTCAAATCAAAGCCTTAGTAGGTAGCTGTGTTGGTTTTGTAGCTGCCTCAAGGAAGCTTTCCCGCGTCACAGACCATTTAGTCTCAATGTTCTCAACTCCTTTTTTGAGTAGTGCTTCCACCTTTCTCCTTGAATTGACAGACAGTCAAGCGCAAGAGAGGTTGACAATCCCCTCGAGTTTTTGTGACTCTAGTTGATGTGTCACTCCTTCCATCTCCTGGGGTATTCATGCTTTCACAGGGAGACTCCTGCCTTTACTTCTACCTGCTCTAAAGGTTTGGTGTACATTTGTTTGTTCCATAGGTATAATCACTTGGTTCCCACGAGAAGCTAGGGATGTAAAAGTGTGCCTGCACAGAGCCCTGCGTGTATGGGTAAAGTGACTAATATACAAGGAGGTGACACCAGTTGTCTCCAGAACCGCAACTTACCCCCTGCAGTTATTCAGCCTTTAGCACATTGCCTTACAGCTTGGGGGTGGTTTTCTGTTGGGGTTGTTTCCCTTAGCCTAGAGTTTCTCCTTTAGCATGCTGGGATTCACATTTGCCCCCACCGTTAGCATAGATTTATTAGGAGTCCAACTAGAGCATTTCTTGGTATTTATAATTCCCACCACCCTATGCAATTGTTGGGAACACAGAGGCCCATTAACCCCCATTTACAGCCTTTGTTATATCTAACCTGTTACAAATTGAATTTACATCGAACAAGAGGGTAAATGTTGACATAAATGAAAATAATTCATACAAAAAGTTATGAACTATCTAATTTTGTTTTATCTAATCACAAATTGAATTCTGACAGATGCTGAGTCTGGGCAAAGCAGCACAAAATAGAGGTTAAGGTTGTATATGTTGACTAAAGGGGAACTGTGAAACACAAAAACACAACAAAGACCTTTTTTTGACATTTGAAAATTTTTCTGTATGTACAGTTATGCTTAGTTTTGTTTGATACTGAGATATACGAAAGCTTGAATGAAGAATGGAGAACAGTGATCTGTGCCCACTGTTGTGCCATAATGTTACTCATATGCCCTGCAGCCTTCTAGTTTACCACATTGTAAAGATGCACAATGTTTATTTTCACGGTACATGAGAGGTACCAACATAATCGATTTCCTGCCAGCATGTTCCCTTGCGTAAGCCTAGTATGACTTATGCTTAACCTTGGTAGACCTTCCTTCTCAAACCATTCTCCATGGACCAGAGACCAAAGGCTTTAACTGCTGCAATTTGGCAGAAGTCTATGATCAGCAATTTCCCCATTTATCTCTTACCATATTCATTGTTAATCAGACAACATCTGCTTGGTGGATGTGTAGTCTACCTAGTGATGCAGTCTCTTTTTCTGCTTCTGCTTCTTCGTGACTAGTCATATTCTGTGAATCTAGCATGACCCCCTTTCAACAGCATTGAACCCTTTTAATTGTTTGTGTATTTTATTTTGATTTTGTTATTTTACTGAAAGGGATTTACAGGTGGCACTTTTTTGTTCATTGGTCTTAGTGACTCCAGCTGATTACCTGACTTATAATATAACCCAATATGGGACTTCAATGTTCATATATACATACTGCATGTTGAATTTCAATATAATTTTATTTGATGATAACATCCAATTAACTTTATACATACTCATACATATATTTAGAATAAGGAAACAGTAATTACAACTTTTTGAAATGAGTATTTTTTGAGCACTGGAGCCGCTGAATAGAAGCGGAACTATATATTTCATTATTTCTACACAATAACAACAATAATATTTATATTTTCACATTGCACACATCCAATATTAAGTACATAGTATTTTACAACTTTAAAAAAATACAATTATGTTAAGTTATAAAAAAAAAAATTAAATTAAAACAAATTCGTTGATTAAAAAAAAGTTGGATGACCAGCAACTCAAGTGTATAAACAAATGCTTATTCATAGATGAAAAATTAAAATGAATAAAATGTAGCGACATCCTTCTTAGAACTTAAATGTACAAGGATGCAGACAGTCATAAACATATTAACAATAAACAAAGTACAAAAGAGAACAATTAGAGCTAGGTTAAAAAAAATATACAAAAATAATGACTTACATTTGTTTTACAGTTTCTTTTTAAATTACAACATTATTAAATTTAAAACTTAAATTAATACATCTAAATGAAACATTCATTCTAAAAGTGTCCAAAGGCACATAAATTATAAAAATTCACAACAAACATGTTCTATTACATTGTTGATTTCGTTAAATAAGTCTTTTTCGGTGGCACATCAAAAGGTTGAAGCAATGCCTCAGTTTTATCCTAATTGATCCCTCAAGTCCGCTGAGAGTTTATTTTTATACATTGATTGATAGTTATATAATTGTGTCCTACAGCTCTGTGGTCGTTTCAATCGGTGACCTGTCCATCAGGTAGTTGAATCCCAGGTGGGAGTAATCTTTCTTCTCTCGGAATGTGACATTTTCATTAGTTGGACTAGTATTGTGACCCGCTTCATCATCAGATCTTAAACCAAAATAGTATTGTGAATTAAGAGGTCATTTGATCAAACTATGAAGGTTTATAATATGACCAAATAAAACAGAAACAAAATAAAATTAATATTACATTTAAATAATTGTTTATACCTTCAGATTGTTCCTGTCTACCACCTAAACAACACGTTATATATATGTTAATCACCATTTCCTTTATTAGCCAATAAAAAAACCAACAAGGTTCAAAAACCTTTATTTATTAGGTATTTAAAAAAATTAAATCTCAAATTGCTAATTCAGCTACAGATACAGTTGAGTCCCGCTAATCCTAGTTTTGATTGATGAGAATGTTTTTTGGATGGATAATGGACAGTTATTTTGGTTTTAACTTTACTGCTGATCTTATTGCTGCTCTTTCATACAAAAATTGACAGGTTTGCATGGTGATATAGCTTTTACTAGATTTTTATTGCAATCTACATAAAAAATGCTCTAAAGTGATGTATTCACAGTCAGTTTGAGAAATTACAATGACAAAATAAAAATATTATAAATAGAAAATTTTAACTTTCAAAAATTTTGTGCAGTGAAACCAGGGCCTATTCACAAGAAGTGGCGAATATTTGTCTGGTATTTTTGGGTGAAAAATCACCAAAAAAAGTTTGGTCCAAATCCGTGACACATCAAACCTGGTCGTCATCTTGTTAGTCTGTATCACTTCAGACTAGTGGGACACTACTGTAATTTAAAGTTCTTAAATATTAGTCAGTCAGGCTGTAGCCTATATAAACTGTCTTTGACCAAGCTGAATATAAAAGGTTTTTGTTGTTGATAATTTTAAAATATGTAGCTGTTAAGTACATCAAATCACCATATTGTTTACAAAACAACTAAATATTTACCTATCATAAACAGGATTAATGTTGCCACCTGAGTGGTCATGGATGTTGTTGTTATTAATGTTATTGTGTCGACCAATGCTTGAAGCTCGTGCTGTTGTAGCAGCTTCCGAGCTTACTGGACTTTGTCCTAAAAACAAAGTTTGATCAATTATCGTTTCAAATATCATTAATAATGTCAAAAAATGTTGAATAATTACAATTACCTCCTTCTCCATGGTCTTTTGTTATGTAGCTTACATTATCTAATGAAAATGCATGGTTTTTTCTACTAAAATCTAACTGGAGATCATGATAACTGTCACTGTCATCCATTGGCACACTCATTTGTAAAACCTGGAAATAAAACTAAAAATAAAATATAGGAAAATATATTATGATTAATTATTTAAAGATTGAAGCTGTTTTTAACCTGTGTTTCATATTCTTTAAGGTTAGGCTCAACAAAGACAGGATCATATCTTGGCATCACGTACATCCTTTGCATTCTTTCCTTGTATGCTTTGTACCTAACAAAAACAAACAGAACATCATATGTATTTTTTTAAAATCTTTGTTCATTCGTAAATTTACCTGGACCAAGATATACAAATGTAAACAATTCCAGCAGATCCTAAGACTAGAATAAGAGCTGCAATCAGTATAACAGCATATGGGAAGACATCCCACTGAACTGCTACGACTGCTGTCCTCACAACTCTCACTTTCAGTGGACCATGCAGACTCACAACTTGTCCTCCGATATCAGTTGACAACTCAGCGGTAACGTTAGCGATGACATCTTCTGAGAATACAGTTCTGAAACAGTTGTATATGTTAGTCTATGCTTCTTTTTAAATAGATATATGTTATTCACTGACTTTTCAACAAGTGTGCTGTTTCTTGGAAGAATTTTTTCTGTTTGGGGATCGATGGCATAGAACCAGACATCAGTTCCTGTAGTGTCGGTGTTCAGTGTTATATTGTCCTTCGTTGATTCAAGCGGTGAGAGCTTCTCCAAACCAATAATGAGACCTGTCCTTTGCTCTAAAAGATCAACTACTGAATCCTCCTTGTGCTGAACTTTATCTGCAGATAGATCTTTAATAGCCATAATGATTCTGTCTGCATCTTCAATGACGTTTATCTAAAACCATGAGTAAACAGTCAAATATTTCATTTTTAAATTGAATTCACGAGAAAAATATGCAAAAACAATAATTTACCACAACTTCAGTAGTTGCGGTATTGGATACACCTTGAGGGTTGTCTTTGGCTTCTATTGTCAAACGAATAGGGAGAGATTCTGGAAGAATGCTGTCAATTGATCGCTTTGTCTTAATGTTTCCCGTTAGAGGTTCTATACTAAAGTATTCCGACATTCCTTTATCATCCGGTACTATCCTGTATTCCATCATGCCCAACTTTCCGCTATCTTTGTCTTCAGCCTTGACTTGCAATACCGTTCGCACTTCTTTCTTGTCTTTGGCAATAGCTCCAAAATATTTTTCTTTCTTGAATAGCTTTGAGTATGATGGGTAAACAAAGTGCGGTGAGTTGTCGTTGATGTCAATAACCTGAACTTTTACCTAAAGCAATATAAAATTAGAGTTTTCTGAAAATTATATAAATTGAACTATGAAACACTTACAGTTGTGGTACTTCTGTTCTCCTGACTGACATAATCAGCTAACGTGTCAAGTCTCAGTTTAAGAATGTACTCAGATGTGATTTCATGATCAAGTTTCCCTTGTGCCAATCTCAACTCACAGTTCTTTTCGCCAGTTACATTAGTGCTGAAGATGCCTGCTTCATCACCAGACTGAATGGTACATTTGATTGGAATATGTTGGTTTTTAGGTCTATCGTTGAGCACAGTGAATGTCTTAATCAATGTCTGTTCTGGGGCATCTTCAGGCAATTCAACAGTGTATGAATCCTCAGAGAAACCGATAACTACATCTGGATGTACTTGGGCAATATGACGAACGAAAATAGTCACTGATGTGATTGAGGATAACTGTGGGTCTCCCAAGTCATAAGCTTTGACATCAACCTAAAAAGACACTTCTCCTTAGAAAAACTATAACAAACTAGTCAAAAACGAAATTTACCTGGTATTGGTCATCTGTTTCTTTACTGAGATCATCTCTCACAGTCACCTCCCCAAGATCAGAATCAATGTGAAAGTACTTTAGGGCTTTATTCCTTCCAACAATTTCATACCGTACCTATAAGCATCAATGTTTTTTATTTATCCTTAAGGTATGATAACTTATTTTATGATGTTTGGTATCTTACTTTGTTCCCTGGCGATGTTCCATCGGAATCTGTTGCCATCAGGGTTGTAACTTTGGTACCGATCTTGACATTATCATCAAGGGTTATTGGTGTAGGTATAGTTAAAAATACAGGGGGAATGTCATTAACATCCTAAAACATAAAATTATTATCAACATGATGACAGAAACATTTTTAATAGTAGTAAAATTTCTTTTATTGTAAAAGTGTATCAATTTTAAAAGATACCAACATATTGCACATGAATGAGCATATATGTTGATTTAGTGTAACAGATCATCTATTAAATATAAAACATTGTAATAGTAATAATTTGTTTAAGGATTTTAAAAGTTCATCAAGAAGTCTTTGTATATATTATCGGGTTGTCCGGAAAATAATGCAGGATTTTAAGTTTTCATTAAAAAAAATCTATATAAAATATTCTGTTTACGTTTACAGGATTACNTGGGAAATTATTTTGATTAAAGAACATTGCTTTAAAGTAACTAGTTTCTTTTTTTTTGTTTAATACCAAAATCCTGCATTATTTTCCGGACAACCCAATATTTTGTTGGAAGCACGTACCACAATGTTTACGACCACTTTTGTTGTCGATCCTGGTTTAGTTGTGTTATTCTCCAAAGTGCCAACGATCAGGATATATTGGCTCTCCAGTTCATAATCAATACCTTTGATGGTTTTAATGACACCCGACACAGGGTCGATTTTGAACATGTCGTTTGGACCTTGCTTGATCGTGTATGTTATTTGCTTGGTCGTATCTGGATCATCTGCTTTGACTTGGGTAACTGTATAGTTTGGCATGTTCTCCGGAACTTCAGCTTTGTATAATGGGTTATGAAAAATTGGAAGTTCATCTTCTGTGTCTAAGACATGAATTGTCACAGTAGCTGTCGCTATCCTGGGATCTGGCGCCCCATCCATCGCCGTAACAACAAATTTATATTCCTGGAAATAATACATTAAATCATATTTCAAAATATACTAAATAATTTAAATATTACCTTTTCCTTTTCATAATCTAATGAAGTACTCGTCATCACATCTCCATTTTGTGGATTTATTGTAAATGGTACGTCCAACGGTAGTGAATAAGTCACATTTGAATTAATACCTTCATCGGCATCATTGGCTTTGACTTTTCCTACATGGATCCCGACTAATCCTTCTTTCACGGAAAATTCATACGGTAAATTTACAAATTCAGGGTTTTTATCGTTTATATCGCTGACCCTGATGTTTACTGTTGCTGTGCTGGATAGGCCACCTTCATCCTCAGCTTTTATTAACTGTAAATATGAAAAATTAGTAACAAAAATAAACAGTCAATTAGGTCATTTTAATTTTTACCAATTGGTATCTTGTCAGATCTTCTCTGTCTAGTTTTCTTATAACGCTTATCACACCAGATCTATCGTTGATTGCAAATTGTCTAAGATCATTTCCAGAAATTATGGAGTACATTACTTCTTCGTTTTCAGGATCACTTGCCTTTAAATTAAAATAATAATTAAAATTATTCCTTCTTAATACTTTAATTTTAAAATTTCCGCTTACGGTGATAGTTGCCACTGTTGAATTGATCGCTGCACCTTCACTAACGGTAACTTCATAAACAGAATGATCAAAAACAGGGCTTCTTGTGTTAGGACCAGGAACAACATTGACCTCCACTATTGTCTGGCCGGCTTTACCTCCAGAGTCAGTAGCCTGAGTAATTACAAAATTATTAATAAGTAATACATTTACAATAAAATTATTTTAATGTTGGTAACTTACTTGGACGGTGATGCTGTACTGTTCCCCAGCATTGAGCTTACCAACACTGTCTAAAACTCCAGATTGAGAGTTGATGCTGAACTTGTTCCTTCCATTGTTAGAAACATGGTATATGCTGTAAGTAAGCATCGCATTTTCCCCTGAATCGTTGTCAGTCGCAGTGACTTTAATTATTTCCCTATGGTTGTCACCAGCTTGAACAGAAATTGGCTGGAACATCGGAAGCCTGGGAGCATTGTCATTGACATCGTTAAGAATGACAGTGAGTGTCAAAGGTGGGCTTGCGGCACCGCCACCAGTCTTCTCCCTTGCTACGACCTTTAAACAAATTTTTTGACCTATTGTTAGTTTTCCATATAAAAAATATAACATACTCATAATATTGTAAGTTACCTGAAACCTAAAGACACCAGGGCTTGGAGGATCTCTGTCCAAATTCTCTTCACCGACTACTAAAATTCCATTGCTGTCTACTTGAAAAAATGTTGTAGTAAGTTCAAATGCATATGGAGGTTTCGGATCATCTTGGCCCTGTACATTAGAAAAATTATTATTTGTAAAAAAAAAAAGTAGTACAGTACTTACCAAATCGGCATCGCTAACTGTCAGCTTGATGGGCATTTTATTAACATCTAAAATTCTTGTACCAACAGGTGAATTTTCATCGACAAAACCCTCCTTTGCAGTCGCAGTGATGATAGGAGGACTGCTGTCCACTGGTTTGACATTTATAAACAACTTTGCAGTCGCAAACCGTTTTGAATTTGAAAACTCGGTCGCCTAAAATATTTAAAACAGTTTATTACATTGGGCATGGGTGTAGGTTTGCCGCTTTGTACTCCCCTATTATTTTATTAGTATACCATTTATCAATTATTCAGAAATCGTGAGATGCAGTCTGGTGTGAGTAGGTTTCAGAAAAACATTTTCTTTATCGTGCCAACGTTTCGATTTTTATGGGGATCATCTTCAGGGCTCAAAGTGTTTGTCTTCTGTGTAATTGTGCCATTCTTGCGTGTCGTGTAGAGAGTGCCCTCTCACATCACATCAGACCAAATCTCACGATTTCTGAATAATTATCGATTAAGGGTCTTTAACCACCACACATACCATGTATTGAACACATGAAGATTGCTTATTTAATGAAATTATCCATTGCAAAATCGGTATTGGACAAAATTCAAACAAAATAAGTTACAGTTTATTCGTGCACCACAGAGGTTCAAGAAGAATTAACTTAATTATTACTAACATTATTTTGATATATGTAGAAAGCTATATAAATGTAAAGCTTCCTTTGATACTGCAAAAATCAAAAAATCAATTGTTTAAAAGTATATTGAATATATTTTTTGGGGTCTGACCACATTATGCACAGTGACCGACGTTATTTGTTCCACCCAAATTTTTGATGAAGTTAACTTAAAAAAAATAAAATAAAATAAACGTATTTCATGGTTTCTGGTGCACTTTACTTTGGCTAATACAGATTGTTTTTTTTTTCTTCTAAATATTGCAGAATACACATCTGGATTTCCCCCACATCTATAGTTTCCTGGATACATAAAAAAAGAATTTTTTAAATCAGACATGCCTTTCAAAATTTATTCCAAATTTTATGTAAAAAATAAGTTGCTCCTCTGTAATTCCACACCTTATTAAAAATGTCTCAATTTGATGTGAAAAACAAAAGCTAAAAAAAAAATATTCCTAAATTAATATTTCTAGATAAATTATTTCTAAAAAAACCTTGTTGACAAGGACTGTTTTGGTTTTAGGCCTAGCTACAAAACCTTCCGAAAACTTCTTTTGCAGTCGATAAATTTGTTGACTATTTATTTTATTTTGATTATTAATTCATTTTTGTGGTAATTTACAAATAAATTTTTTAAAAATGTTTTTGTTTTTCACATAAAACTGAGACATTGAGACTTTTTTTACGAGCTTATTTCTGCTGTTAGGTTAAATGAGGGGTGCCGGTGATTTAAAAAAAGCATATTTGTAAGTATGCCAGTTTCGAATGAAGGGCCGCTGGATTCGAACCCGGGACCTTACAGTGAAACCATGAAATCCGTGTATGTTATCTATTTATTTTTTAATTTGTTTAATTAAAAACAAAATTAATGTGACAATTATTTAGTTTCTCTTAATGCTTAGCATGTTACAACTTGTCATCAGTTCCTCTTACCAAGCTTTAAAAAATATTTCTGTGTGTGTGTGTGTGTTCAGTCTGTTGACCGTCAATCATCAGCTACATTCTTTGCAACGTACATTAATATGTTTTGGACATGTTGTTTTGAACTTTTTATTTCGAGTTTATCCCTCGGTTTTGTAATGTATCAGCGAAGGATTGGTCTCTTCGAACTTTTGTTGTTCTGAACTATAAAGCCTCGGATAATACACCCGTTCTACGAAGCTAATATCCGCCAGGCTCATAAATAACGAACGTTTGAAAACAAGCGGGGAAAAAAGTTTAAAAGGCATAAATGAAGTAATAAGCATAAATCGTGAGTGCTCTGTGTACTAAAAGGCTACGCGATTCTGGAAAACCGCCAGTTAAACTGGAAACTGCAGTTGAAATAAGGAAGGGATGAAACTTCCTATAAAAAGTTTGGAAGTTTGGCAACGGTTCGCTTCAAAGAGGCTAATATAATTTCAATTAGAAGTATAAATAAGCGATCGAAATAATCGATACTATAGTGACAGAACTAAAAAATACATAGGCTCTAATGATTCTCTATCTGGTAATCTCATGTTATGGTTAGGGATACCCTTTCTCCAGGGTTACAGGAGGGAGGAAAAAATGTTATGGTTAACATGCAAGGAATTTTATTCCAATTTTAACATTAATTGGGAGGAAGGTATTATCGAGTACTACATATTCTACGTGAATCAACTGTTTGTACGTACATTGAAAACAAATGTTTAAAAAACTGCATGCTTTGGGGGCTGAAATAACATAGTTCTCGATTGCCCACATAAAAGATCAAATTATTTGCCAGTTGAATACAGGTCATAAGAATAAACTGTACGATTAACTGAACTGAGCGTGCTACGTTTTTGTCCTGTTTCTCAATTTTTACATTCACTTGTGTCAGTTCTCGGTACTGTAGTATGGATGTTGGAATCGCAAAAACATTTGCGATTTACAAATTTGACCTTTTCAATGCCTAAACACTTGAGGAGGACAAAACTGAAAGCAATGCACAAAAAGAAGAGTGTGGACTAAGACATTTGGATAAGGGCATAATCAATTAAGGTAGAACTGCTTGTGAAGTTCCATAGCTTAGAAGTCTTTACATTTCAATAAATGAACACTAGCGGTTTCTAATGCAGTAATTGCGAACTGGTGGGACCGAACAATTACCTCAAAGAACCATCAGAACTCAAGAAAAATACCAGACGTTTCCTTTGATACTGCAAAACAGTTATTTTTCAGTAAATCGTTACTTGTAGAAAATTAGCAAATAAACTGAGTTTATGTGGAGTTCGGTAACTTTTATGAGCAGGACGGAGACCTAGGTTCCCGGGAATTGCAACAACACCGGAGTATGTCGAAGGAAATCACTCTTAGAAGTACCTTAACGATGATGACGAAACGCTTGGCCGTGTTTGTGTCGACAGGCTTAATCTGCTGAACGATACCCGTCGATGAGTCAATTTCGAAAAAATCCGCGTAGTTGCTCGGGGTGCCGGAGAGGAAGCTGTAGACTATCGGTTTGTTGAGAGAATCCATGTCGACAGCTTGGATCTTCTCGGGGGTGATGGAAAGGACACCGGCAAGCACGCCGCTGTTCACCTGTAACGAAGATAAAAGTAATGAATCACCTTAATGATAATTTTGTCGAATTTCACTCACCGTTGCGTAGTATTCGGGGTTGATGCAAGCTCCGTCCACCAACATACAGCCCTGGTAAATGAACGAAGGGTCGAGGTCGTCTTCGTCTTTGACGTTGACGGTCATGGTGGTCGTTGCTGTGAACCTCTCACCTTGATTTCTCGCCTTGTCCTGGAACAACGGGACTTCGTTATGATCATTTTATCCGATATATGACCAAATTTTGTATTGATTGAAAAATATTGTAAATGATGCCTCATTTTTCTCTTAACAATTTTTAATAATTATGATCATTAGGTCATTTATAAAAGAAAGGCTTTATTTGAAGTTTTGAAACAATTGAGTTAAAAATATAAACAAACGACGTCGGTGTAACGTGGAAATTTTTAAATATATCTATGATATTTTCTCTTGGTCATCGGGACCTGAAAGCTGGTTAATCTATCAAAAATTAAAGCTGCTTCTATTCAGGGTTATAAGCAGGAAACAGACAAAAGCAGGGATAGGAAGACAAAAATAGCCAAACTAGAAAATATTGTAGCCTAAAACCTCCATGTTTTGCAGTGGTTCTAACTTGTTAATTACTCAATTACTAATCAAAAGCTCTTAGTTTACATTCTTTATCGCATTGCTCTTGGCCTGCACCATTAAACTCGAAGGAAGTACATCTTTTAATATCAACGACACCATTTTCTTCTGGTTTTCCTGTTGAGGGTTCTTCTATAATTTTCCTTGCACCAACTTCATCCGATCTTCACCCTCTGGTGTAGGTCCTTTCAGTTGTCTAGTAAATTTACGTTAATGCCACGACCATCCATCCTGGTATGGGCAAGTTTTATCCTTTTCCGTTTTTGTTTTAGTGCATTTTTTAACACCCTTTTTTAAATGTGTATCTTTTGAATGTACTTTTAAATGGTCAGGGTTGTATAGTTCAACAGCATTCGCTGAGAGATTACAGATCAGGTTGAAAGATAATCAAAATCAGTCTTTCACGTCGTAGATCAATTTAAAACAGCCCCGAGGTAGCGTTTTATCAAAGGGACCAAGGCAAGCGTTCGAGAATCGCCTCTATCTCCTTTCAATATTTATGCGTCGACTTGAACGGGAATTACACGCTGAAGCTGGTGGGATTTAATTGTACAAGTTATGCCATCCTCGGCTGACCTTAGGCTCGCCCATTATTTATATATTTGACTCTAATAAATATTCAATATTCAAAACTTACCGCGGTGTTGTGAATAAAAAAGAAAGAATACGACAGGGCGGACAAATCCAACTGTAATTGGCCGAATAAATAAAAGGACATGAGTTAGCACTCACGCGAAAGGATATCATCGCACCGGATTCGTAATGGAGTCGGTAAGGACGCCGGTTAATTGGTCCATTAGTACGAACCTCTTTCGGATTAACATATGTATTTACAAAGCGGTCTGACATTTGAATACTGTCACGGACATCGATGCCCGCCAGTTCGATCGTCAACGCAACCGAGACTCTTTTCGAAGCAATTCCTATCCCCCTATACACACAAAAGAAATTTTGGATTTAAAAAATGTCGCTTTAAGTTCGATGTTTTTCTTCCTCTTTCTTCCACTCCGAGCTAAACAAGTCTATTGTGGAAAAGTCTGAACTTTGAAGAAGAAAGATTAAAATAAGGAAATGTGCGGTGATTAGTGACCGTTAGTCTATGATTATTCGGAAATCGTGAGATGTGGTCTGGTGTGATGTAAGTTTCAGAAAAACATTTTCTTTATCGTGCCAACGTTTCGATCTTTAATGAGATTATCTTCAGGGCTCAAAGTGTTTGTTTTCTGCGTAATTGTGCCATTCTTGCGTGTCGTGTTGAGAGTGCCCAGGACCCAGCTTCTCGAAAACGTCTACCGGCGTCTGGCAGAGTTTGGAAGAGAACTCCGATGGCTATACCGGATACCAAGGGCACTCTCAACACGACACGCAAGAATGGCACAATTACGCAGAAAACAAACCCTTTGAACACTGAAGATGATCTCAATAAAAGATCGAAACGTTGGCACGATAAAGAAAATGCATTTCTGAAACCTACGTCACACCAAACCGCATCTCACGATTTCCGAATAAAAATAAGGAAAGTTAACGCCCAAAAGAAATTATGCATAATTAGCATTTGTTTGTAGTTTGGTCGTTTATAGTCTTTTGGTCTACCTTGGTATGTCAGACGAGTTCCAGCATTTTGCAATATTTAGTGCTGGGTCATTCTTTCCCTAAGTTTCTCGAGTCTTAAGAATGATGCGAGGTTTTTTTAAAAATGCACATAGCCCTCAGTTAGTAATGAAAGACCTTTGCAAGAGTTAAGTTTGAGGGTAATGGGTTGTTGCATACCTAGAAAATGGTGTGTGCAGATGGACTGGGTGTGTATTTAAGAATACGAGTCAATGATCTCTTCCCGGTTACACTGACCCAGAGTGGAGCAGTAGAGGTTAGCATACTATAGTAGACCAGCCGCGATGTACAGTTGCAGATGTCAGTTCGGTTTTTCTAGAGCGCGTTCTGAAACCTTTTCTGAAACCACAGCTTACGGAGGTGAACCTTCACGTCCTTCAACTTCGATACACCGTTATGCCTCGAGAGCGAGGTACGGGCTAATAGATCCTCGCCCTTCTCAGGGCGTTGAATACCACGAGGAAACATATGGCCAGTACTGATTTCAGTACTTAGGTCGACATTGCGATGGGCCTGAAGTTTGGTCATTTCCAAACGTTTTTCGTCTGGATTTAATTTTTGTTTTGATCTTTCAAACACATTTGACTTTTTCACATCTTCAATTTTTGGTTTCATCCATAATTATTATTAAAAAGCAAAGATGTCAAAAGCCAAAACTGCGAGCAAGACCAAAATGAACCTAATCTACAACTAACCCTATCAGCCTTGTCCTTCTTTTTCAAAACTCTCAGGTTATTTTTTAACGAGCATGTTAATATCACCTACTCAGGTGGATCTATTAAATTGTTTTACTGCTCGCTTCTGCATTATCGAAGTTTTTTAACAAATATTAATTTTTGCTAATCAGAACAGGGTTCGGTTCCAGTCAGTTCGTATCAGCAGGAATGTATGTAAAAGTACTGCTCGGCTGAAACAAAACGAGAATTTTTTCTGCCAATTCTTTTTATTTATAATGTACAGAAAAAATATATGAACAATCAGAATGCCGTATATTTGGACTAAGGCTTCAAAGCCGTTCAATATTTGCTTTATAAAATTTCTACAACTATTGTCTTTTCCACTCATTTTGCTTTTAACAATTGTACATACACCACCTGCAAGTCATAAAACCTAGTAATATATAGTTCAATAGACTACAGTACTGATAATTTTATCAAACAAAAGTAAGCCAGAAGAGCTGTTTTTTACCCTTTAAAGGAAAATGTCAATCCGAATTTTGACCATATGAAACGACCTGATCCATTTAGACCATTTTTTCATTCCAATTTGAACATTGGATTTAATTATTTATCTTTTAAATTATTGTTTTATTTATCATTACGGGTTATCTTTATTTTTACTGGGCATCTTTAAAGTAAGCTTACTCGTTTTGTTTAATTATCTTGGTTTTTAATGATTTATCTTGATAAATAAATATCGAATGTTTCAAGAGTTCATCAAGAAACAACATAAAGTGTTAAACACAAAAGTTTAAAATATTACTAGCAGTAAATAACAAAACAGGTTTTTGGGGCATGTGACGGTGACAGTATTTTACGTCTCGGGAGACCGATTTTTCTTCAGGCTCTCTTTTGTCTATTTAGTGACGGTGATAATGAAACAAGAAGCAGAACGCCTCCTTACAATAAAAAGAACATTTTACCGACTTACGATTGTACAATAGTCGGAAGTGAAGCTTTATCATTTAAAAAAAAAAAACGTTTTACCCTGATGATTCTTATAACCGTCCTCTCAAACTTTAGCAAGATTTTAATCTCTAATGTCCATTCGATGTGACTTGCGGGTTCAGCCGGAAGTTATTGAAGTTATTATTGAATTTTGCGGATCTTTGTCCGTTTCCCTTTCAAATCGATAAGCGCCATTTCCAAACCTAATTGAAAATCAATGGGACATAAAGTCTTTCTGACAGTAATAGATTTACGATATGACAATGAGTGGTGTGGCTCGTGTAACCTCCATTAGGCCTTGAAAGTGAACCTCCTAAAGGAAATAACGATTGCTAAGAGATAAATGGTTTGACACGATACTACTATATTGAAAAAGCACAATTTGAAGATGTTTCTGTTTAAAATCTCTTCTGGACAGTTTATAAGTCAATGGGAGGACAAGTTCGAGAGACTAGGTTATACCGAAAGTGGGCATCATCTTTTTCACTGAGACTTGATAAGGAGAACCAGAATTTATCAACATGACAGGCTTTTCTCGTACAGTGGTGAAATGTTGAGAATGAAATTAGAGAGAGGTGTCATAGCGTAGATCTCCAGAGTAAACATACAACAGTCGTCTATCAAAATTGAACTCTTGAGAGATTTCGAGGCAGGGTTGCATGTCGGCCATTTATTGAAGAAATTACGAAATAAACATAACTGTTGTGTAATTTTCACTTACAGGACAATGATCCGGTAGTTAGTTCGGTTCCGATCATTTTGGTTTGCCGATCGGTTTTTATCAGATAGAAACGTTTCTGCTTGTCACCATCGTCAATGCCTCACCCTTCTTATACCCCTTTTCTAGCATATGTTGAAAATCCAAATTGCCGAGGATTTAGCCGGCCAGTAGCGTTTTGGCAGGGGCGAGATTATTTTGGTGCCTCACGTGCTTATCGCCTTGGCTCTCCGACAAACTAATCAGACTGTCAGAGCCGTTTCGTCTTCTTACTGCTATTAGTTAGGTCTGGATAGGCTTTCAGAGATTCAAGGTGTTTACAAACAGGGTGAGACACCAAAATAATCCCGACTCTTTTTCCGGGCATTTGGTATCGTTAACCTTGCGGTTTTACTGTTTTGTCTCACCCTTCTTTAACTAATCAAACACAAAATGCAGAGAGGCAGTGAGGATAGGAAACAACCAATACGTGGGTGTATTTACGCGTTTTCTCTATAAAATTATTTTTTCTTACTTGAGTGATTAGTTCACTGATGTCTTCAGCGATTTGATATTTCTCCTCACTCAAAATCATTTCTTGGCATTCA